ACTCACCAAATGCCAGCAGCAATGACTACAGCACTGTGAGGCATCTTCATTCAGCTACGTGAGAGGAGACTGTCTCAGCAACTGACCTGAAGGGGTCCGTCAAAAGGTAACACGAAGCAGGGATCAGAAACTTCTCTCCAGAATATTTTGTCTAAATAGAAAGCAAGACTTAGGGAGGCCAAGGCAAGAGGATTGCTTGAAGCCATGAGTTTGAGACCAGCCTGGGCAACATAACCAGAACCCCATCTCTAAAAAACAAAATAAGATTAGTCGGACGTGGTGGTACACGCTTGTAGTCCTACCTACTTGGGAGGCTGAGGCAGGAGGATCACTTGAGCCCAGGAGTTTGAAGTTGCAGTGAGCTATGATTGCACCACTGCACTCCAGCCTGGGTGACAGAGGGAGACCCTGTCTCTAAATACATACATACATACATACATAACAGTAAGGAAGAAAAGATTTCTCCAATATTTGGTCTCTATTTCTTCACATAGTATACTGAGAGATCACCCTTTTCTATAAGGTTGTTTCAGTTGTTTATCTTGATAGTAATGTATCATAAGTGTATATACCCTTGACACAACAACTGGGACATCTCTGGGAAAATGTTGCCAAGTTATTGACTGACTCTGCATAGCAAACAGGCTTTTATTTCTCTAAATTAGTAATACTATACTAAATGTTGACATAGGTATAAGGATGTTCATTGCAACATTGTTTATCATAGTGAGTAATTGGCAGTACTACAAAGGCCTTCACATAAAACAAGTTACTATATCTTCAAACATACCAGGCAATACTACAAATATCTTAGAACAGTATTTAATGGCATTAAAACATAAAAACTATTGGAAGAAAAAAATCAGTTTACTGTCATTCTTTTAAAATCACATATTTATGTATATGTGAGCACATGTATATAAAATATTTCTGGCTTATGGGCATTAAGATTTATTTATTTCAAAATATAAAGGCAGTATAAATGTTTTTGTTACATGGTTACCATGTATAATGTTCAAGTCAGTCAAAATGGATTAAAGACTTAGAAATCTAAGACCCAAAACTACAAAACTATTAATACTAAAAGAAAGCATTGGGGAAATGCTTCAAGACATTGGCCTGGGCAAGGAATTCTTGAGTAATACCTCCAAAGCACAGGCAACCAAAGCAAAATTGGGCAAATGGGATCACGTCAAGCTAAAAAGTTTCTACACAGCAAAGGAAACAATCGACAAAGTGAAGAGACAACCCACAAAATGGGAGAAAATATTTTCAAACTACTAGGGATTAATAACTAATCTGACAAGGGATTAATAACAAATCTGACAAGGGATTAATAACTAAAAGATATAAGACGCTCCAACAACTCAATAGGAAAACAAATAATCCAATTAAAAATGGGCAAAGGATCTGAATAGACATTTCTCAAAAGATAACATATGAATGGCCAATAGGTATATGAAGAAATGATCATTAGTCATCAGAAAATTACAAATCAAAACCACAATGAGATATTGTCTGACCTTAGTTAAAAATAGCTTTTAGCAAAAAGATAGGCAATAACCAATGCTGGCAAGGATCTGGAGAAAGGAGAACGCTCGTACACTGTCGGTGGGAAAGTAAATTAGTGCAACTACTGTGGAGGATGGTATGGCAGTTCCTCAATAAAACTAAAAATAGAACCACAGGACCCAGCAATCCCACTGCTGGGAATATATACAAAAGAGGGGAGTTCTGTATATCAAAAATATATCTTCACTCCCATGTTTATTGTGGCACTATCACAATAACCAAGATTTGGAATCAACCTAAGTGTCCATCAATGGATGAATAAATAAAGAAATTTGGTACACACAAATAATGGAATATTATATAGCCACAAAAAAGAATGAGGCCAGGCGCGGTGGCTCACGCCTGTAATCCTAGCACTCTGGGAGGCCGAGCGGGCGGATTGCTCAAGGCAGGTGTTCAAAACCAGCCTGAGCAAGAGCGAGACCCCGTCTCTAGTATAAATAGAAACAAATTAATTGGCCAACTAATATATATAGAAAAAATTAGCGGCATGGTGGCACATGCCTGTATCCCAGCTACTCGGGAGCTGAGGCAGGAGGATTGCTTGAGCCCAGGAGTGTAGTTTGAGGTTGCTGTGAGCTAGCTGACACCATGGGCATTCACTCTAGCCTGGCAACAAAGCGAGACTCTTCTCAAAAAAAAAAAAAAAAAAAGAATGAAATTCTGCCATTTGCAACTGGAAAACACGATGTTAAGTGAAATAAGCCAAACACAAAAAACAAATCTTGCAGGTTCTCACTCATATGTGGGAGCTTAATATTAAAAACAATTGATCTCATGGAGATAGAGAATAGGATAATGGTTACCAGAGGCTGGGAAGGGTAGCAAGGAGGGGGCAATAAAATTGGGATGGTTAATGGGTGCAAAAATATAGATAGATAGAACAATATTTGATAACATAACAAAAATCACTATAATCAACAATAAGTTAGGGTATACTTTAAAATAACTAAAAGTGGAATTGGAATGTTTCTAACACAAAGAAATGATAAATGCATGAAGTCATAGATACCTCAACTACCCTGATTTGATTAATATACATTGTATGCCTATATTAAAACATCACATGTACCCTATAAATATATACAACTATTGTGTACCCTTAATAATTAAAAATAAAACAAATTTGTAAAAGACATGCTGTAGTGAAAATTCCGATGGTGCCTTTGACAGTCATGTGATTAGAGATACTCATTACTCAGCTTTTTCAACTTTCTTAGTACTGAGTTTGAAGGCTGAGTGATAATTATGCATACTTTATGTAATGAACACTTATATAGTGCTACCTATATGTCAGAAAAACTGTGCTAGGTAATTTAGAAATATCTATTAAAGCCTCATAATTACCCTATGAGTTATCTCCATTAATAAAGATGAAGAAACTGAGGCATGAGGAGGTTAATTAGTTTGCACTCAAGACCACACAATTAAAGGATGGAGTTGGGGCTTCACCACAGGCAATAAGAAGCTATGCTCTTACTCCCTACACTATGGTGGCAATCAACCTAAAACATTTAGTATTTCACAAAGACATAACCACCCTCATTAATTTGGGTTTTTTCTTTCTTTCTTTTTTTTTTTATTTATTTTTTCAGCATATTATGGGGGTAAAAATGTTAAGGTTACGTATATTGCCCTTCTCCCCCGCCCCCTTAAGTCAGAGCTTCAAGCGTGCCCATCCCCCAGTTGGTGCACATTGCACTCATTTATATATGTATATACCCATCATCTCCTCCCCACACCTGCCCGACACCCAATAAATGTTATTCCTATATGTCCACTCAGGTGTTGATCAGTTAATACCAATTTACTGGTGAGTACATGTGGCGCTTATTTTTCCATTCTTGGGATACTTCATTTAATTTGTTTTAAACTGATGGAAAATTGAACATTGAAGAGCCTGGACAATATATTTGGTCATTAAATATGAAATGTCCAATTTCAAATCAAAAGTGTAGTTTATTATATCTCAAACAAGAAGCAGAACATTTAATCAAAGTATGCGCCTAAACCATCCACACAGTTTTGCCATCTGAGCCAGTAGCTTGTTTATCCAGCAGTGAAAAAGCCTGGAGAGCAAGTGGCAATGAAATTATGAAAGGTGTTTTCCACAGCTTTTTGAGAATTGAATATTTTCCTTGCAAGAAGTGGTCCAAACCTTGGAAGAAGTGGTAGTCAGTTGGTGCAAGGTCTGGTGAATATGGTGGATGACAAAGATTTTCCAAGTCCAGCTGCTACAGTTTGAGCAGCGCGTTGTTTGTGCGACATGTGGTTGAGCATTGTCAAGAGGATTGGCCTGTCTCTATTGTCCAATCTCGGCTGCTTAATCACAAGCATCCCATGGTTTCATCCAATTGATTGCAGTAGACATGTACTGTAATCTATTGACCAGGTTTCATGAAGCTGTAGTGGATAATACCAGCACTGGACCAACACACAGACACCTATTTTTTTGGTGAATATTTGGTTTTGGACTGTGTCAGCACTTCATCTTGATACAACGATTATGCCAAATGCTTGCGATTGTCAACAAGAACCCATTTTTCATCACACGTAACAATATGGTGCAAAAATGGTTCGCCTTTATGTTATGACAGCAAAGAAAGGCAAGCTTCCAGACAATTTCCCTTCTGATGCTCATTTAATTCATGCGGTACCCATCTATCCAACTTCTTTACCTTGCCAATTTGTTTCAAATGGTTCAATATTGTTGGAATAGGAACTTCAAACCTAGCTGCTAATTCACACATGGATGAATTAGATGGATTCGCTTCCCCTACAGCTTTCAGTTCATCATTATCCGCCTTGGTCTCAGGTCACCTACGTGGCTCATTTTCAAGATTAAAATCACCAGAACAGAACTTCTTGGTCCTTCCCACACACTTCGTTGATATTTCAAGCTGTCTGCACTGCATTGGTTCCACGACCAAACTCATATTTGAAAAATCACGAATTTTTTACTTATCTATGATTTCACAAAAATTGCTCTAAAAGATTTGAAAGATAATCACAAGAAAAAATGTGTTGGAAAGACTGAGGATGGATATACCTTCACAATAAAAATAGAACAAGGGCCGGGCGCGGTGGCTCACGCCTGTAATCCTAGCTCTCTGGGAGGCCGAGGCGGATGGATTGCTCAAGGTCAGGAGCTCAAAACCAGCCTGAGCAAGAGCGAGACCCCGTCTCTACTATAAATAGAAAGAAATTAATTGGCCAACTGATATATATATAAAAAATTAGCCAGGCATGGTGGCTCATGCCTGTAGTCCCAGCTACTCGGGAGGCTGAGGCAGAAGGATCGCTCGAGCCCAGGAGTTTGAGGTTGCTGTGAGCTAGGCTGATGCCACGGCACTCACTCTAGCCTGGACAACAAAGCGAGACTCTGTCTCAAAAAAAAATAGAACAAGAATTGTCAAAGTGCTATGTCGCATAAATCAACTGTCATATTTATTATGCAAAGAAATAGTACATTTCATACTTAATAACCTAGCACACTGATTCAGGCTGCTGTTTCCTCCTACAAACTTAACCCTCATGCTCTCATGAAGGCAAGAGGGAATTACATTTAAAACTTTGAGGTCTCTGGGGAAGGTAAAAAAGCAAATGAGTTCAGTTTGGGAGGGAAAGAACAACCCAGTAATAGATCCTGCTGTCATCATCACCTCAGAGTAGGTGAAGGTGAGACATTATATCCCTTGTTTATTCTTCTTTCCTCAACTCTTTGCACATTCATTATTTAAGACAAGGTAGCAGAAATAATTTCTTTGTGCAGTGCCTGGATGTAGTAGCAGTTCAAGAATAGTCAATGGGTGAAAGAAGATGTCAGGGAAGGAACATGGTTAGAACAAGAATGATGACATGAGGTGGCCCCTGAAGCACATTCTGGCTGTGACAGGTGATGAGCCGTGAGCATTTTCATAAGGTTTTATGGCAAGCCTTAGTGATGCCTGTCCTTGTTGCTGATCTTCTCCTCTGAGTCCTTCAACAGTTATGACTTCTTCACAGGAGAGTAGATGACCTGGGAGTCCTGGGAGAGACACCCGGGAATAAGGGTCTAAGTGAGCAAGAAGGAACATGGTAGAGGAAAGACAAATAGAGAGTTTCCAAGAAGTCTGGCTCACCTTGGTCTCCAGAGAGGGCCTTCTGGTGTTTGCTGTGGAGGAAAAATAAATAGTGCTGAGCTCTTGGGTTCCTGCTTAGACCTCACTCCCGGCTTTATGCCCCAGCGTATAGAACTGCTGTGTTTAATGTGTGGAATTCAGTCTTCTCCTGTTCTTCTGTAAAATCCTCTTTTAATGTTGCTTACTCTGAAGTCTGTCTACAACTCCATCCATTCTCCAAGCCCTCCACCAACACTTATTAACAAAGCCCTTCCTCTCCCTGAGGCAACTTCCCACAGGTCATTTTCCTTATAATTTTTTTTTTCTTCTTGGCTTCTATGACTATTATACTGTTCTGTCAGGGCTCACTTTGTGTTATTCCTCTATATTCTATGGGTGCTTCACCTTGCTATATAGAAAAAACATTGGAGGCACAGATAAAAGAGGACACATCCTGAGTCATACAACAATTCGAGTCTGGCTACAAGGGTTGCTTAGTGATGTCTGCTTCTTTCTCCCTTCTTTCCATGTGTGCCTAGTGGGCCTGAATCTCCTTCTCTCCCCTAACTGCAGATGTACACCTAGAGGGCTTGAAAGATAAGCATCCAGTGAAAATGATTGTACTTTTTGATTCTGCTGGGCTGGTCACAGACAGAGAAGGAGAATGATGGGGTAATCAGCTCTATAGGAAGCTGCAGTGGAAGCCTAGCTGCTAAGCAAGGCTAGCAGAAGACCCAGATTCAGAGGCTCAAAGAATAGCCAGATGACAACTGACCAGGAAACTGGCTGAGCTGCCAACAGCCACTGGCTCCACCAGAGGCAGCTGGGAGCAGAGACCAAAGGGCAGCTTTTAGGGTTGCAGTTTCAAGAGCACTGGAGCAGAAGCTTGAAGAACACAGCTCTGTACTGTTGTAGAATTATCATCTCAGTTCCTGCAAAGCTGCATGTCAAAGTGAAAATTCCCTATATCAGGTTGGTTGGTTCAGTGACTCTTCCGTTCTGTGGTCCTTTAAAAGAGGAACTTCAATGACCCTCTTCATCTGAGAGAATTCCTCCTGGACTTTAGACATTCTCACTCTTGCCTGATTCCCTCCCTTTGCCTTGTATCCCAGCTTCTCCCTGCCTATCTAATCCCATCTGAAAGAAGATTCATTGACCCATCTGCCTACACTTTTTTTAGTTTAGCTTCTCCACAAAAGCCTGCCTCCAGGTATCTCCTGTTCTCTCTTGGACCTGCCGATTTCATATCAAGGACAAGTGATGTATTGAAGCCTCTATTGCACACAGTGCATTACTCTCCTGGGAAGATGCTTCTGACAAGAGCCACTTTGCAGTTTCTCACCTGAGTCTTCTGGCTGCTGGAAGCCCATGACCTCGGAATAAATCACATCCACACCTAGAGAATCCACTTCGGGGAGAAGACAAGAGTTCACAGATGTTTGTGGCCAAGGGATCAAACTTCATACACATCTTCCCAGTCCCTTGCTGCTTGACTATGTTGTTCCTCCCAACCCCATCATGATTCCAAAAGAGTCATTTATTTATTGAGAGTGACTGAGCTTCAGGGATTGGGGGATAGACCATCTCATGGTCTCTTTTCCTGCCCCCTCTCCCATTCCTACCCCAGCCCCAGATCTCCTCCCAGTGGGGAGACTCACCATTGACATACTCTGGCTGCAGATCCTCCATGGTGAAGAGTAGGCTGGGCTGCGTGGACTCTTGAGGGTTTGGGCTGGAAGCACCTCTGTGAGAAAGTGAACTAACTACATGAGAGTCCCCAGGGCAGTGAGTGAGAAGAGAGAGGAGAAAGGCTGGGGAAAGAAAGGGTAGAAGCCAGGCAGGCATGACTCTCTGCTTGGGTGAGTTATGGCCCTTCATGTATAGACTATCTTCTCTGATTTGGTCAAAATGTTCTGTTCTTCATCTTTGGCTTTTTGAAAAGTTATAAATAAGACAATGATACTACCCCAGATTCATTTCTGTTAAAGTCATGTGGATCATCCTTAAAAAAGTGTTCTGGTAGCATAAATGTAATGAAGTAGAGACATAAGTATTATAGAAAGGCACTATATAATCAAATAGCCTTGATCCCTATCTACAAACAGATAGTAATAGGTGTTTAAAACTGTGAATGAAGGAGCCCTCTAGAGTTGAAATTTTTATTAGGAAGAGTTCTCACCTGTGTGTATGAGTAGCAGAACTTTTTCCTGGAAAGCAGATAAAGGAACATTCATTTCAAGGGAGGAAGCTTTATCTCTTAAAGTTTTTATATGACTTAACCATGTATCCATCATCAGCTGATAAGATATAAGATATAAAATAGTAATCCAATTGCATTCCATCCAAATAGCTACTTATTTATTGCAACACTATTAGTTATTAATAGAATAATCCACTCTTTTTTTTTTTCCCACTGATTTGAAACGACACTTCAAATATCAAACCCTGCACACATTAATCACTGTTTCTGGATTTGTTATTCTGTTCTATTTTCTCTTTGTCTATTCATGTACCAGTAATATGCTGTTTTAATTACTACAAAATATAATATACTTTAACTATTCATGGATCTAACTCTACCTTACTATTCTTCCGTTTTAGACTTTACATGGCCATGCTCAATTTTTTAAATGTTTTGATATTTGCTATACCTAGTCAATAGCAGTGGTCTTGGAGTTAGGCTTGATAGTATTAATAGCTTTATAAAACACACTAGGGTATCTCTTGCACATTAGTGATACAGAGAGATTTAGAACAAGAAACACAGCATACCACCAGAGACGTATTAGGTGTATCTTCACAAGGAGTCCTCATAGTGGTCAAGGAGATATTGTCTAGTCCTCCAATTAAGTGCTCAGGAAGCAAGGCCACATAGATGGGTATAGGGGCAACCCCAGCTCAAAAACCTTATGCTTGTCTGGGCACGGTGGCTCACGCCTGCAATCCTAGCACTCTGGGAGTCCAAGGCAGGTGGATCGCTCAAGGTCAGGCATTCGAAACCAGCCTAAGCAAGAGCGAGACCCCGTCTCTACTAAAAATAGAAAGAAATTAATTGGTCAACTAAAAATATATAGAAAAAATTAGCCAGGCATAGTGGCACATGCCTATATTCCCAGCTACTTGGGAGGCTGAGGCAGAAGGATTGATTGGGCCCAGGAGTTTGAGGTTGCTGTGAGCTAGGCTGACACCACAGCACTCTAGCCCAGGCAACAGAGTGAGACTCTGTCACAAAAAAAAAAAAAAAAAAAAAAACAAAAACAAAAAAAACCCCTTATGATTCTCAGAAATCAATACTTATGTGACACCTATGAGGGTAGGAGTGTACCTTCTAGTCACCACTACAAGAGACATACTCAATTTCAAGAGTTACATTGCATTTATGGATACCCCATTTGTGCTTCCCAGCAAACATTTATAATCCTGATCATAGTGCTCCCAGTTTAGATGCATTTCACCAATCAGGAAAAAAACACTGTTAGTAACATAGCCAATATTCCAACTTTACTAGGTTTTGAGAAAAATAGTGCTAGAAAATTAACTTTAGTTTCCCAAGGAGAAGGAAAAACTATAATTTTTTTGTTTAGCCTTCAAAAAAAGGAAAGACTACAGAATTTTCTACCAAGCCAAATTGTCATTCAAGCATAAGATAAAGAGGCACATATATTCAAACATGTATGAAATCAGTGTGTATGTTTCTAACAACTTCTTATTGAAGAAATTACTTTAAAATTAACTTTAGTCTACTATCTAAGCACTCTTAAATAATAACAAAAATTGAAGATACATTGATTCACTAAGAAAACCTCAAAAACATTCCAAAAAGTAGATATGCTACAAATAATATCCTCTGATCACAATGGAATTGGTAATTCATAATAAAAGTGTAAAAAAAATCTCCATAGGCCTATAACACAAATTTAAGGGAAGCAAGTCTTAAGCAATTGAATACATATGTGAAAATATATTTAAATATATAAGAAAAGGGAAAGACAATTAAATATCCAATTTTTTCAAAGAATAAGGCTAACAAAAACAAAAGGGAGCAACTAACAAAGACAAAATCAGAATTCTAGAATTAGAAAGCAAAATTGGGTGATTACAGTACAGGATATACAGGTGATCTATCTACATGGTTACATTTCATAGGGATGGCTCCCCACTTCTTGAGATGGACATTCCTGGACTGTAAAACTGGCAAGAGTCAGGAAGAAGATTTGTATCTCAAAGAGGTAGAGAAAGAATTTACAGGCTGGGCATGGTGGCTCAGGCCTGTAATCCTAGCTCTCTGGGAGGCTGAGGCAGGCGGATCACTCAAGGTCAGGAGTTGAAAACCAGCCTGAGCAAGAGCGAGACCCCGTATCTACTAAAAATAGAAAGAAATTAATTGGCCAACTAAAAATATATAGAAAAAATTAGCTGGGCATGATGGCCCATGCCTGTAGTCCCAGCTACTTGGGAGACTGAGGCAGAAGGATTGCTTGAGCCCAGGAGTTTGAGGTTGCTGTGAGCTAGGCTGACGCCATGGCACTCTAGCCTGGGCAACAGAGTGAGACCCTGTCTAAAAAAAAAAAGTGATTAAAAATGTAATTTGTCTCAAAAAAAATAAAATGAATTTATAATTGTGAGTGTTCCAAAGTAATGCTCTAAGAAAAGGGAGGCGAGGACCTATAGGCAGGCCGAGGAGAACATTAAGGCCATCTTGATCAGGGGAAGGTACCAAGTGCAGACACATGCCTGAGGAATCTTAAGGAGAGAGTCTGTGGTCATCTGCCTGAGTCAGGAGCTGCACATCTACAGGTAGGTGCAAGAGTGTGTGAGTGTTTCTTTTGACCAGACATGAGCCCTGTGGAAGAGAGGGCCAGCTTGAAGACATTTCAAAATTTGGCCAAGAGGACTGCTTAGAGGGGTAAGGACGTTCCAAAGTGAAGGCGGAAGGGAAGGGGGAGGAGGCCATGGATTCCCAGGAACTGAGGAGAGATGTTAAGGGCACAGCAGGAGAAAAATGAATCACCTGTCTCACAAGAAGAGTAGCCAATGTTCCACCTGTGAGGCTCTGGAGAACCCATAAACACATACCCCAGGTAGGAACTGATTTGTTCAACCCACCAAGTCTGGAAAGTCAGCTTTTTTGGTGCCAGAGGTAATTAGCACCAACCGTGGAGGCTTCAAAAACAGAAGCAAGTTGAAGAAAACAGAAACATCAGACCAGGGTCCCTTTCCGCACTGCAGAAGTCTGGCCTGAATAGGGCCTGAGGTGGGCAGTGGGAGGTGAGTGCTTTAACTTAGGGATTCAGAGAGCTTTTAATCATCATTACATGGGACCAAACAACACTGATACTGAACAGGGACTCTTTGGAGAAGCTATGCTTTTGTTTTGTTCTCACTGTTCTTGTTTTGTTTGCATACAATTACATAGGAGTAAGTAGATAGTCTGTATCACATTGCAAAGCAATGCATTTGGGCATGATCATGTGACTTATTTTGGCCATGGGACAATAACAAAAGTGACACATTCGGAGGATTGAAAAGTGTTTTTTATATTGCCCTCTCTTGGGCACATTATGGACTGAATATATCCCCCCAAAATCCATATATTGAAGCCCTAATGCCCAATGTGACCAGGGCCTTTATAGAAGGAATTAAATTTAAGTGAGGTCATAAGGGTGGGACCCCGAAACAATAGGTTCAATGTCCTTATAAGAAGGGACACCAGAGAACTTGTTCTTTCTCTCTGCATGCACACAAGAAGTCACATGAGCGCACGGCCAGATGGCAGCTGACTGCAAGCTAAGAGAAGAGACTTCGGAAGGAAACCTATTTTGCTGGCATCTGAATGTTGGACTTCCTAGCCTCCAGAACTATAAGAAAATTAATTTCCGTTGTTTAAGTCACCCAGTCTGTGGTATTTTGTTATGGCAGCCCCAGTAGACCAATATAGACAACCTATGCTGTCTTCATAGAAAAGCACAAATATTCTCTTTTGCAAGTCTGGAATAGTTGAAGATAGCTCAGGTGTGTCATGGTGTAGATCTGAGGTGACTTTATTTTCTCATTTTGTGGGTGAGAAAGCAGAGCAGAGCTGGTTACCTGAAAGGCCATCTCACTGCCCAAAGAGCAATGATGAGGCGGGAGGTTCTAGAAAGGAATGAGAGCCTGTGAAAGTTATTCTGAGGATAGAACAGCAGGAAGGGATCCATTTGGTGTAATATCACAATTCCTTAGTCTTAGACTGTCTGTTTAGAAAAAACAGAACTTCCACTGGACTTGAGCACACTGGCTTAAATATTTACTATATGGGAAAAAATTAATTTCTAAAATTTCTTTCACTTGATAGAAGTAGGTAAGTGTAAGAAGGCATGTTGCAAGAGTGAAAAAGTTATTATTGGTATTCCTATGTATCCCATTCTTGCCCTTTACCTGATAGCTTCAATACTGAAATATGAAACTTATGAGAGGTGAATAGTTAAAGTCAGGACCTGCAACAAAGTTAGGTTTGAGGCATTTGAGTCAGGCCGATAAGGAGTCTGGTCTTAGCTCTGCCCTCTACTGGCCAAGTGAGCACCGTGGACTGTTTAACTTTCCCAAGACAGTTAAACGTGGACAACAATTCACACCTAAAATAACTTATGATAATTACAGATAATATACGTAAACTTGCCATACATAATTGACCCAATAATTGGTCATTGACAACTCTTTTTGACTGGGGTAGAATATTAATAGAGATCAGTACGAGAAATCACTCAGAAGGATTCTCTAAATTCTTGACCTTGAAAATAATATATTACAAAAAGATATAGTCAGGCTGAAAATGCCAAAACCACAGCAGCATTAAGAAAGTGTTGGTTATAAAAGGTGGATGCCTTTAAGCCTCCAGTAATGGTTAACAAAGAAATTGAACAGACCCTTCTCGTAAGGACAACTAGAAATTCTGGGCAAAATATTTTTAAAAGTCTATTTCTAGGCATTGAAGAGGCAATAACAAAGTGAGGAATCACGGAGACAAGAGAGGAGAGAGACTCAGGGAGATACACCTGGCTTCTGGAACCACTTGTTCCACGGGGCATTTGCTGGTTCTGGAGAGGACCCCCTGGGGGCTTCTGCTTTTGAGAGTCTTGTGGGGTTTGGGGACGTGGATTGGAACTCATGGAAGTGTGTATGAAAATTTTTGAAATATGGTTGCAAATTCTTGGACAGTTCTCCCATTTAAAGGTGCAGGCTGTGCTCTCCTCCCTTTATCTGATCAGGTTTGGGAAGCACTAGGACACTGTAAAATTTTGCTAGAAGCGACACTACATCACAATTTTAAAACTGCTGGATAAAAGGTATTGCAGATTCACTACCGCATTTGCTTTTGGAGCCTGAGCCAACATGTCAAAAGTCTACTCCCTTGAGGTCTTTGTGCTGTGACCTTAAGGTCATCCAGGCCACATCAAGAGTCTACGTGTATGTGCTTTCGTTGACAGTCTAGATCCTGCCCTAGAGCCAGCATCGACCACCAGACACGTGGGTGGAGATGGCTCCTTGTGATTGATAGAAGGGATCCAAGAATTCAAAGAGGAGTCAGTGCTCTTGTCATGAGCAGGGGAACTAACAGGAAATGGATTAAGGGAAAAGATTATATTCAATTGATTCTAGTTCCTTTAAATATAGGCCCTTGTTACATTTTACTCCATCATGTACAAACTGTCTATTGAAAATTATCAAAGGACATTTAACAATTAAACTTTTTAATTTAAAAGTCAAGCATGCAGGAATGTGTGAATATTTTAATCTCAAGTGACTGCACGCAGCAGACAATGACATATTGTAAAATAGTAGTATGGCAACATTGCCCATTGCGTGGAATGGGAAGCCTAGGATGAAATTATTGGATTTTGGAAGGTTTTCTTTTCTGTCTCCTTTCTTTTTTTCTTGCAAATCTAATCTATATCACTGATGGAAAAGGTCACGGCAAAATAGGGAAAACACAACAAATAGTAGATACCAACCTGATATCTTGTGGCACCTGTGATAAGATAGCACAACACCACCAGTGAAAGCAAGGACACCAAACAGTCCCCCAAGAACTCTGGCTATGACAAAGTCTCTTCTATAGCCACCAGCCTCTAAGGGAAGAAATCAGTGCTTCAGTCCCAGAGGGTAAAGACTTGGGCCCTTCTTATCATACTGTGTGGAAATGGTAAATACAAATTCATGCAAGAGGTCATTTAAGTATACTCTGTGTGCTTCAGGTTATTGTGGGGAAAAGAAAAGCAACTAGACACTGGGATCACCTTCTCCCCTGCTCCCCAACAGCAGACACCTCCAGGACACTCCCTATCTTCTGAAACCCCAACATGGTACCAATAAAGACTGGTGGGACAGAGCCATTGATCACCATACTCCGTATGCAGATACCACCAACACACCTGAGATAGACAGTGTCACCACCTCACTGCGCTGGGCCCCCAGGCCATTGTCAGCCTCACAAGAGTAGTTTCCAGAATGTTCTGTAGTCAGAGAGAGGTTGAAGGACGCTCCTCCTCCACAGGGGGCCGAGCTGTTCCCCAGGGTGACATCCTCATGATAGAACCGGTACAGGATCGGGGGAGAACCTCTCAGGGCCTCACAGCGAAGCTCCACCACGTCCCCCTCCACAGCCTGGGCCCGGGGAGCTGTGATGGTGAGGACAGGGCTGGACACTGGAACTGACAGACACAGAGGGGCTATCAGAGAAAATCTGTGATGCTGCAATAGATTCACAAACTCCCACTCTAAGGTCTCAGCAAAGGGCCTGGTCCCTTGGGCATTGTGCATTCCTTCCATTTTCACATCTCCACTAGAGCAATCAGAGGTAATTTTTTCAGCAATGTATTTAAAACTTTGGGAGGAGTATTAATGCTGGGGTACTGTCTAGAGAAGTGGTCGTTACTGTTTGCATCTTATTTTTTTCTTACACCAATTGAGCCTTCTTTATACTTCTACAAAAAGAAAGATGTCAGCAGCTTAACTTGCAAGGATAGCTCAGTTACAAATTGGTTTTAGTTCTCCGCAGCACTGAGCCCGGGCTGCGGGGACCTCCTGGAATTTCCTCATGGCTCCTGGGTATAGTGGCCTTGCTTTTGGAATTTCTGGTCCAGATGAATGAGGGTGTAACTCACTTCTCACAAGGATATTCACCACGTTGCTCTGGATGGGCTCATGGCCATTGTCAGCTGTACAGTAATATCCGCCAGCATCACTCTCCCTCACAGCCAGGATGTTCAGCTCTGCTGTCAGAGAATGCTGGGTCTTCTTTCCCAGACTGGGTCCTGTGGCCTCTCTGTGCCAGGAGAATGTGATCTTTCCCGTGCCCTCAGCCACCGAGCAGAGCAGGTCTAGCTTCCCTCCTTCAATCACCTGTCCCGCAGGGACCCGGGTCTCCAAGCTTACATTAGAGATGGGGATTCCTAGATGGATATAAGATAACAGGTGAGAATCCTGACTATGGGAAACTCTGGGAATCGGGGTAGACTGAGTCTACTCTCTAATGCAAGCAATGGCAATACGGGTATAGCATATGTAATCCACTATGAGTATTCCTATAGAGGTAGGGAATCCATGACAATTTTTTTTTGAAAAATGTAGATACAGATACTTGTATGTTCTAACTCTAATCCTTGCTAATTTCATGGGTAGAGATCATTTAAGAATTTGTGATAGCTTTAAGAAACAATGGTGATATAGCACCTCTTGTGTATTCCTGGATACAGCTGGAGCCCATTCTACTAAGTGAAGTATCTCAAAAATGGAAAAACCAGCACCACATGTACTCACCAGCAAATTGGTATTAACGAATCAACACCTAAGTGGACATATAGGAGTAACATCTAACGGGTGTCGGGAGAATGGGAGGGGGGAGGAGGGGATGGGTATATACAACCACAACGAGTAAGATGTGCAACATTTGGGGGATGGACATGCTTGAAGCTCTGACTTGAGGGAGGAGGGAGGGCATGGGCAATATATGTAACCTTAACACATGTACCCCCATAATACGCTAAAATTAAATAAATAAATAAATAATTTGTGATAGATCATCCACTCCACGAGACAGGAAACTTTAATTTTTTTTTTTTTTTGATGAGTCACTGTACAGACAGATGCCTTTTGCACAGAATGAAGATAGACACCGGTAGCATCGGTCCTACCTTGGAAAAGGTATTGTTCCCAAGAGCAATCCCAGTTACAATTCCTCTATCATCCCCAGTTCCAAGGCTGAACAAATCACTACCTCTCCTCTGACCACTGTGTTCACTCTGCTCTCTGCTCTCTCTGACGCTACCTTTAGCTCCGCATGCTGTAGCACCACGTTGCCTCCTAGTTCAAGCTATGTTGCAGTGAGAGTGTGCGGAGCCATGCAGAGAACCCGTGCCTTGCCTCTCAAAGCACCCAGCCCACTGCTAAATGCACAGTCAGTGATCAATGAAGACTTAATCAATGAACATTACTTAACTAATAAAAGAGAAAAGGCTTATCAGGGGAGTAGTCTATTCCTTTTTCTCACGAAGGGAGACGCCAGGAGTAATCTGAGAGTTTCTGTAGCCCAATTCCCACTTTCCTCAAGGGCAAGAGTTGCACAGAGAAACAAAAAGCCCAGCCGCCCAGCTGAAGCTACAGCGCTTCTCTCCTCCTCCCAGGCTCAGCCCCATGCATACTTACTCCGCACATGAATCTTGGATTGGGGGCTCTGTTTTCTGATTCTGGGCGTCACAGTCCCTGCCTCACACCAGTAAGACCCTGAGTCTTCGGTCCTCGTTGCAGGGATCTGGAGCTCTGGGGAACTGCTCCAGCCTGATCCCAGGGCCCGGCTGCCTCTGAAGAAGCGAAACTGGAGCTGGACCTTTGACTTCTGTGGGTGGAGCCGGGTCTCACAGGTCAGGGCCACTGGACCCCCCTCGATGGGCTGGAAGGAGCTGGCTGTCAGCACAGGATGTTGAAATAGCTCTAGAGAGAAAGGTCACAACATTGCCCAGAGCAGTGAGAATCCAGGGTTCCTGATAAAAAGCCCCTGGAGAGAAGTGACCGCAGGACATTCAGGGCCAGACTCATCTCGCCCATCGCGGCTCCCTTGCTGGTCAAACCACAAGCGCTCCAGTCCACATTTGCCCAGTGGGCAGCTTTCCCCTACCAGGTACCCACCCTGCTCTGCTGCCACGGTTTCCTGCCCAGCCCGGCCCACAGGAGGAAAGGTTTTACCTTGGACTTCGATATTGACTGTTTGTGAAGTTTCTTCCCATGACTGGAATAGTCCACGTCCAGTAGCAGAACAGTGGTAGTTGCCACTGACACTCAAAGTTGCACTATGGATAGAGAAATCTGAGAATTCTTTTGAAGAAAAAAACATTTTTCCGTTCTTGTAGTAAGTCACCATCTCTATTTTCCAGTTCTTTTTTCCCTGGCATGTCAGAACTATTCTGTCTCCTTCAAAGACAGAAGGGGGCGCCAGGAAAGTCAGCCCATCTGCGAAAGAGTGAGGGAAACTGGAGTTACCATTTTTGCAGAGAACCCAGATGCCTGGGCTGCCTCCTCGGCAGTGGGATGCTCTCAGAGGCATCTACATCTTTAGATAAGACGGACATTGCAACCCGTGCCTTAATTACTAACGGCTACATCCCATTTTTCCTGAGGAGGTATCTTAGCTCGGGCTGCTATAACAAAAAAAAAAAAAACATAAACTGGGTGGCTTATGAACAACAGAAATTTATTCCTCACAGTTCTGGAGGTTGGAGGTCTAAGGTCAGAGTGCCAGCATGGTTGAGTTCTTGGAAGGGCCTCTTCCGGGTTGCAGACTGCAGACTTTTCACTGTATCTTCACACGGTAGATGAAGCACTAGCTCGCTCACCGGCCACCTCTTCTTATAAGAGCATTAATCCCATTCATGAGGGGTCCACCCCATGACCACCTCCCAAAGGCCCCACCTCCAAATACCATCACATTGGGATTAGGGGTTCCACATATGAATTTGAGGGGGACACAAACATTCAGTGGGTGTCAAGGTAAACATAACTTTTTACACGCAGAGAGGCGTGTTCTGCTGAGGCTCCCTACCCTTAGCTGTCTCCACTGGTGACGTCACACAGGGGACCCTTGTCCTCAGTGGGCACTTTACTTTCCCATCTCCCATGCCTTCATCCAGCCCTCAGAGCTCTGCACTGTCCTGTGAATTCAGTCCCTTCCCTTCTTCTTGCCTCACCAGATGAAACCCCCACGTGGTCTGCATTACTGAGGAATGCGCCAGTTACTGGAATAAGGTCCAATATCTTTAATTCTCAGAACTTTCCACTTGAAGGCTTTCCGAAAATTTTCATTCAGTGTATAACAAAGTAGAGGTTACTTTTAATCCAAGACTTGGTTCCTAGAGACTGATCATTTTGAGAAAAAAAGTCACTGCCTATGACAAATGTCATCCCCAGGGGCTGCTTTCCTTAGATTGGCCACAGGTTCTCTACTTTCTACCCTGTCAGTTCACTTATGTATGGCACGGATTGTGTTCTGTGTTTATGACATTGCCATTGTATTTTAGGATTATAGTTGAGGATTTTGACCTTAAGGTGAGGAACTATGTTATACTCAAATAAAAATCTTCTCCCTATCACTATTCAATTGTACCATGACTGTCAGATTTGGATGTGTAGTGGAAGGAAGCAGAGATCCATCAAGTAAGAGATATGATGGCTCACAAAATACCACTGCAGAGCCCAAGCCAAAACACCACAAGTGACTTGTGGAATTGGAATTGGAATATTTGAAAAAACGTATGGTCTGCTATTGGCTGTTCTAGGAGAATCAAAATTGCCTGTTGGACATTTGGTGGGAGGGGGATCTATTTTCTTTCTTTCTTTCTTTCTTTCTTTCTTTCTTTCTTTCTTTCTTTCTTTCTTTCTTTCTTTCTTTCTTTCTTTCTTTCTTTCTTTTTTTTTTTTCTTTTTTCTCTCCCTCCCTCCCTCCCTCCCTCCCTCCCTTCCTTCCTTCCTTCCTTCCTTCCTTCCTTCCTTCCTTCCTTCCTTCCTTCCTTCCTTCCTTCCTTCCTTCTCTTTCTTTCTTTTTGAGAAAGAGTCTCACTCTGTTTCCCAGGCTAGAGTGCTGTGGCATCAGCCTAGCTCACAGCAACCTCAAACTCCTGGGCTCAAGTGATCCTCCTGCCTCAGCCTCACAAGTAGCTGGGACTACAGGTGCGCAACACCATGCCCAGCTAATTGTTTCTACTTTTAGTAGCGACAGGGTCTCCGCTGTTGCTCAGGCTGATCTTAAACTCTGGAGCTAAAGCAACCCTCCCACCTTGGCCTCCCAGAGTGCTAGGATTATAGGTGTGAGTCTCCTAGTCCAGCTGACAATCTGTTTTCTAATGAAATTAGAAAGTAGGTTGCAGAAACAATTAATTCAAGATTTTTGCCCTCCTTCACAGATTGAGGCTAGATCCCACAGGAACTCTGCTGTGGGACTTGCAATCAAGCCGACTTTTAAGCCACTTGTACAGTCTTTATCCAGAAACAGGAAAAATTCCTGGGGAGAATGCTGTTGGGGAAAGGAGGGTGGGGAGTCAGGGTTAGAGACGCTATTGAAAAGGCACCAGATGGGCAGCCTCCCAGGCTCTGGGCTTGCTAAGTGAGCGTGGGGGTTTCACTGCTTGTAAAGAGGCAGACCGCCAGGTGGAGAGGGAGCAGAGGGTGGAGAGTAGTGGGAGTGGCTGGCACTGAATCTGAAACTGCAACCAGCAAGGTGGGGGGGGGGGCAGCAGGGGAGCTGACTGCAGCTCTGGGGAGGAACCACCTGCGGCATGGTCGCAAACCTGGAGGGCCCAGAAGTGAAGTAACAGGCAGAGTTGTCCCCTCGCCTAGGGTCACTGATGGAATCTGGTGCTCAGAATGTTTATTTAACCCAATGAAGAGCCGGATCACACTGTGCTGAATCCAAGTCTGCTATTATTAGCTGATAGTGGACAGAGCACTTTACTCTCTGTACCTCGATTTCTCACCTGAGAAATGGAACGATGGCAAGTGTTTGCCTCTTGAGGCTGTTTTAAGGGTTCTGTGAGGTAAGTGTTCAGCTGTGCTTGCATACATGCACAAAAGGACCACTCGATCAGTTACGGATTGTCACAACCTTGAGGGGAATGTCCTTATTGCTGAAGCTGACAATGACTGAGGAAGAAGAAGAGGCCATCATGACTGTACTTCAAGAGCAACCAAAACAATGGGCTTCAATCCGTGAGATGGGGAGGACCTGGGAGGCTGAAGAAGTGAAAGTGACTTGAGGTCAAAGCCTCCCAGAGCAACGTGCTAGCAGGTAGAGAGAAGTTGGTCCACATCTTCCACCAGGGAACCCAACGGAGTCAGAATGGAGTTTGTAATGGAGTGTGTAGCCACTTGCGTCCAGGGTGGCTGCGACCACCCGGATGCCCACTGCCTGGCAGATCGGAGGCCTCAGCAGAAGTGTGGCTGGCTCTTCACTGGCTGTCATTGTGAGGGTTCTAATCTGTGCACACTTTTAGTGGAGTGAAAGGCATCAGAGGCCCTGGAGAAGCCGGGTGATGAAGCCCTAATGCTGACTCCTCCATCCTCAGGGAGTTCCAAATCCTCCAGCAAGTAGGACTGGTGGAGAAGGACAGACACAGCCAGGCTGAGACAGGCTACACCTACAGAGGCACCCGATAGAATCTTGCTGACCCCCAGAGGTACAGAAAAATCCAACTGGGGGGACAATTGTAGGAGGCAGGAAGAAGGTTAAGTTATGAAACCCTTAGGTTGAGCAAATCTAGGGGGAAGATGTATGCAGCTGAAGAATTCCTTTTTTACAAGAATGTCAATGAAAAATTTCTTTACTAGAACAGCAGCAAGAGCAAGAGACAAACAGTATTTCTCAGAGGTTTGCGCAGGTGGTGAGTGCAGCTTACGGGTGGGGCAAGGAGCAGGAAATGGCAGCGGTGGCAGGGGTGGAGAGAGAAGGCCTTTTTCAGTTGCTGTGCTGAGTGGCATTTTCACATGTTGCATGGGAGTGAAATTCTCAACAGGCCAGAGACTGCTCACAGGAGTCCAGAATGGGGTTCAGAGGCCAAGCGACCGGCCGGCCCGCACGGCAGGTATATAGCAAAGACACGATTTGAGTCTCGCTTTTCAGGCGATGTAACTCCTGCTCTTTTCACGACCTCGGACTGAACGAAGTTCCCTTGTATCCTTTTTTTAAAAGGGGAGATCTCAAAGTTCTGGAGAACATTCCCATCCCAGCTTTCTGAGACGCTCCTGAGCAGGGAGAGGAAAGAAAGTAGAGTGGCCATTGCCCTGTTCTCTGAGTGTCCATGACTGACTCATTCCAGGAGCCTGCCCACACCTCACTGAGACTGAGTAACAGCACGGTTCCCACTCCCAGCCAGAAACCACCTGGGCTCTGACTGAGGTTTCCTCTAAATTTCCCTCCAGACAGGAAGGGAGCTGATGCATGTCATGAGGTCGGGCTCGGCGTGGGAAAGGGAGGATGTGAGACACAAGACGAGTTCATGAGCACCCTGCAGGCCAGGGCCCCTGCGGGTCTCCCTGCTGCCCCCTTCCCTTTGAGGTGAGACAGGGATCTGCTTGTCCCAGCACAGTTCCTTAGAGCCCAGGCTCCCTTGGGCACGCAAGGGGACAATTCTCTCTTTCTTTAGATTTAGTCTTGGCTCATGGGGAGATTCACCATGTAGAATAAAACATTTTTCTCATTGACTTCCTTTACTGAGCACAACTTTCAATCAAAAAGGGTGAGATAAAATCAGTTTTAGTCACTCGACTTTAGAAAAGTAACACAAGTATTTAAAAAGGACTAAAGAATAAATCTAGAGCAGGGGTTGACAAACTGTAGCCTGTAAGCCAGTCAGCCACCTGTTTTTGGTAAAAAAAAAAAAAAAAAAAAGGTGTTTCTGGAACACAGCCATGCCCATTTACATACGGTCTGTAGTGGCTTTCCTGGTACAATGACAGTGCTGGGTGGTTACGGCAGACACCTGAAAAGCCTAAACTACTTAGTCTCTGGCCTTTTACAGAAAAAGTTTGCTGACTCCTGATCTGGACCTAGAAAGGCAATGATGGCCCATGTTTAGTCTGACCATGCAGAGGTTTATAGCTCTGCAGCCCTGAGATTTTTCCTCTGTGGATAACTGTTTTCAGAGCTTGAGGATATTCAGTATCAGCCAGACGAAATTGAAGAATTATAGTCCCATGGTCAAGAAAACAATTCTCTCTAAACTGCCCTCCTCTCCAGTCAGCACACCTTCCTTTCGTTGTTACTGCCCTTCCTACACCTGGGCTTTTAGCGAAGGGCAAGCATCTGGGGCTTAGAGAAGGCTAGGTGGGGCCCGCTCACCCGGGCATGTGACCTCAGAACGGGTGAGCAGTTCTGAGGGAGATACCCTTGGACCTCTGCACACTCTTTCTAGGGCCACTTCTGCAGGGCCCTGTGGTGGCCAGGCAGCTGATGTATGAGAGACAGAGAACAGCAAAGACAGAAGGACTCACCTGCCTGTGCACTGGCCGGAGCTGTGAGGGAATCAAAGGTCAGAGGTTAGCAGGGAGCACTTGCCCTGATAATCCAGAAATGTATGTGACTCTGATAAACTGATCAAAAACTTCTTTGCATCTTTTTCTTCTTTTCTACTCCCCCACTCCCTCATCACCAACAAGTCAATTTCCCTCCGACACACTCTTAACCCTCATTCATTGGGCAACCACAAGACAAGTTACAAACTCATCCTTTCACCAAAAGGATTGAAAAGAATATGCACAGTGAATACTTCATGATTCTTTCCTTCATTTCATTTTCCTTCCCCATCCCCGCCACTGTCCCAGGCACCCACGCTGTTTAACTGGTAGACACACTGCTACATGACAATGTGGTCACAAAGGGTTCACAAAGAAACACGCATAGCGAACGAGACCTATGAGAGTTGAGCCCACTCTAAATCAATCCCTTTGCTCAGGCCATATTTTACATGAGAGCCCTTTTATTCCAGTAACAAATATTTCCATGCCTACAGAGTGTAGAGAAAAGAATCTTATTTCCCAGTAGCAGCCCTCATCTTCCCCATAGCCCGTGATTAAACAGAGGAACATTAGCAAAGGGTCTCAATACAGTTTCCGAGCCCAGATCTTACAGAAATGACGGTGTGAACAATTGGTTGTCATGGAGGAGAGAGGCAGTATTAAGCTCAGAAATTAGGAACATTTTATTTAAGAGAACATAGTATTACTCAATGAGATCTAAGATAACAAAACAGAAGTTCATAATCAGCAAGTGGTAAAGTTGCCTGCCTCGAACATTAAGGATTAGAACAAGCTGCAATTTGATTTTCCTCCGTCCCACTGGTTTTCGGCTGTCCCTGAAGCCTAAGCTGGAATCCAAGACCTGAGCGTCCCCACTGGTCCCTGGGCCCTGATAAAACCCCAGACTGTTCAGGACCTGGAGACCTCATCCTGTTGCCTCCTCAGTTCTAATTCAAAATTATTGAACTCACCAAGGATGACCAGCAATGACCACAGCAGCATGAGGACCTGATTCAGCTATGTGAGAAGAAATGCTCTCTCAGCCTGCTACCAGCTGGGGCCTGTGAGTAGAAGATGAATTGTTTTGTATAATTAGCAAAAAAAGGAAGTAGAAGAGCCCAGAAAACTTTTGTCAGTCTCTCTTATCCTGCAGTTAGTAGCCAAGAGAATTAAATATAATCCTCTCTATGCCAGAGAAATTCTACACCTCGACACTATGATGATAACTAACACTTATATACAGGTCTTAATGAATTGGACACAGTCCTAAGTACCATATGCTTACAAAGTTATTTAATATCTCCAGCAAGCTTCTGAAGTCAACACTATCCCTTTTATACAGTTGAGTAAAGGCAAATGTCT